CCTCTCGAGGAGGGGTCGGCAAACTGCGGCTCTTTGGCTTCCCCCTTGCGGGAAAGTTAACGTAAAGATAATTGACTGAATATGGCAGGGAATGGGTCACTATGCAATTTTTTGGTGGCAGCAAAATATACAACAGTCAAACTGTTGTTAAATAACAACGAATGGGGGGGGGGGGGGGGGTGGCAATAGACGCCGTTTATTCCATCACCTATTTTATTTAAGTCAGAATGTGTTCTTGTCGTCTGCTGTATACATGCTCTCGAGGATACGCTGACGATAGTCGTCTTGGGGAGAGGTGGCGTCACCCACACTTTACCCCACCACGCGCAACCTGCCGATCGACTGTGGTGCAACCATTCTGTACAACGGGAGACGCTACAATAAAAAATCTGCACCGTTATATTCTCAACTGCCGCGACGGGAGATTGGTGACCCCCTCCCTCCTAACCCCCCACCCCCAAACTCCTGTGCACCACGGCGGCAGAGAGAAGCGGCTCCATCCACGCAGCCGTGATGAGCCAGATGGCGTGCACGTTCACAACGGAGTGCCGCGCGCGCGGCTTCACACTGCACAGGGGACACATGCAGGCAGCACTCGCACGCTACCGTTTCAACCTACTCGCTACAAGCACAAGATCCCCTCGTATCGCCTGAACAGACCTTTGAGGGCAAGTGCTGTCAGCGAGTAGCACCTTCGAAGGCCGGAACGGTACACGAGGGGGTGAGCGGTGGGTGGGGGGCCAAGCACCACGCCCGGTTGCCTTTGTCTCCCCAGTGGCGATATTTACACACTACAACCAGGTACCATTTGAGGTTGAGTCAACCTAGCGGAGGCCCAGGACCGGTTCAAATAATCGTCACTGGTGTTTTGCCTTGAGCGGGAATCGAACTCGGGTGGCTGGGTTCATTGCGCAGTGCGCTAACCCCGCTACACTACCGCTCCCCAGACAGCACTCACTCGTTACTGTTCAAGCTACTCGGGACACGAACAAACACATTCCTGCGGAGGGAGCTGGTAGGAACGTTGGGTTGCTCGGTCAATGGCCAGGGTCAACGGCGGCATGGTGTATTCCGCAAATATGCCCGACTGTGAGGGCGGGCACAAGCCGGCGTGAGTAGGTTAAACGTTGAGTTTTATAAGGGCACCACGGGGTGACCAGCCCCTATACACACCCAGCACCACCCCTCCCACCCCCATCCAGCCCCACCCTCACCACCCAGCTCCTCCCTGCACGACGGACGGACACAATAATCCCCTGTGCGCTGGTGTAACCAGGAGGTTCCTACGAGTAATACATACATGCACACGCGCACATCTGTACACGCACACACACACACACGTGTGTATCTGTACATGCACGCAAAGTGGTTGCTCGCCAAATTGTGAGCAACCGCTTTGTAGGAGAGTCCACGGCCGTCGACATATGTACAGATTGACCCCCGTCATAGGAATGTGGAATTTCCACAAGCGGCCCAGGGCTGTGAATGGGAGACGGAGTGCCGCCTCAATGCTGAATATGAGCAGGAACTCACTTTCGCTCTGACCTGCTCGCCCTGTCGTGTGAAATAAATCGTAAACAAAGTAAACAAAAATGACCAAGTGGTCTAACCATTGCGAAGTTTCCCATCGTGTCAATGGGCGTACCCGCTCGTTCTCTACGCCCGCGGGAACGGGGGTTTCACAACGTGCGCGGTGATCCACCAACTCTGGCTGCCTCCATCCGCATCGGTGGTTTGTGACCTTCGCCGACTTGTCTCGACTTCGACCCAAGACCCAGATGCTTTAACAACGCCAAGGAGACGAAGCCACGTGGGGATGGGAATTCATCGTGGGGATTGTAAGCCACCCTGTGCCAACCTTCTCCGCGACCCGTGCTCCGTTCGGGCTTTCATGACCACGCGCGTGCACCACAGCGGACCACGAGAGGTGTGGACATGATGATGTGTGCGCGTATGTACGTTGAACCCATCGGAGGTGCGGGTTGGGGAAGGATGGTCTGGGAGAAGCGTGCCCGGTGCCAAGCAGAGCCGGAGTGCGGCATTTTGCCACCCAGGGGAAGAAATATGCCATCCGTGCCCACAACCCCCTCGGAGTTTCCTCTTCGCCCCCCCCCCCCCGTCTTCTCCCCCCCCAAAACATGTGTGAGCCACAAGGCACCGCCCTCTTCCCCCTCCACCGTCGGGGGAGGGGCTCCTGGGGGCAGCCACCCCGCCCTTGCTGGCACGGCACCTGGGGTGGGTAGTTTCGAGTGCCCCCCCCCCCTCCCCACAGGGTCGGCGTTCACCCACCACCCACCTGGCTCACGCGTGACGCACTCAGCACCCACCGCCACCACCCTTCTTATAAACGCGGTGGTGCCACGCCATGCCCACGGCGTCACGAGGGTAACAACTTAACGCCCGCCCGGTAAGAGCGCGCGCACACCGGCTGACTCAACGATTCCGGAGCCTCTGCGCATACCGACCAATATATTGCTATATGATTGTGGTTATGGTTGTACTTTATTAATCCCTAATCTCTGCCATTACATACAATGGAAAAAGAAAAGATAAAAAATAAAAAAACAGAGCAATGTAATACAATACACTATTAGACATTATTGTAAAACATAAATGTGTTAGTGATTTTGTGTTATATTTGAGGCAGGAAATGGAAGAACATTCGTTTTAAATTTTAGATTTTTATCTGGGGGGGGACCCCCAGACACCCTGGAAGATTTGGTTCCCCCCAATGTTGACTCAATGGCTACGGCCTTGATACCGACTACCCATGCAAGTTACCCCAGAAGTAATGAATGGCTCTGTTCGCCCAGAAAATCTCATTGTTTCCGGACCACCTGTTGCTCTACACTGAAATAAGCTGCTCGAGAGATATAGACGACAGTGTTGATGCAGTTTCGCTGTGAAATTTTCAGAGTGGTTGTCAACTATTTAAAAATCCGGTTACATTTTTTGTTTATTCTCACGGTGTCGAGATGTTATTCGCCTCGCCTGGTTGCAGGAGGTCGGGGAATCGATCCTGACCCTGACGCCTGCTGTATATTTGGAGTTCGCGTGTCGCTTCTCCGCGTCGTCCGGTTTTTTCCTTCAAATTTGGAAACATGCTTTTAGTTAATTTAGATTATTATATATAATGAACCACTTTGTTGAGCTATCATTTGTCGGCAGGTCGCTTCTGAAAACGAAGCTAATAGCGCAGTGCCCTTTACCTGGTAAGATAAAATTGTGTATTAGTGATTTGCTTACCTTTCCTATACTTTGCACTCCTATCGCGTTTGTGTATTGTTGTTGTAACTTTATGACCGCCACGACTGGACATCTGTAAAAATACATTCACAGCTCATCGGATTTCTCGAGTATAAACAAAGTTATGATTTGTTCAAACTAAGTGCACTACAAAATGTAACGTGACGGTGTTTTTTTTATGTTGCAGTCATTGGTGATCGGGCTGAGTCCATGATCTCACCACACTTGAAAAACACCCGGGATTCGAACCGAGGTCTTCGATGATGCAGGCGCAGAGCTCTAACTCACTCGCTCACCTGACAGATTGTCTCTTTTAATTCAAGGTAAAGTTGTACACATTTAGTTTTGTTCAGGTTGCATTTTTGTATTAATTCCTAAAAAAAAAATGTCAATTTTTTTACATCTATGTTTATATCTGCATGTTCGAATGCTGTATTTGATGTTACAAATGAACACTAGCTGTTGCTTTATGCAACAACATAGACATCGATGTTGTCGTGTGGAGGAATAGCAGCGAGTAGCAGTGTTTAAACGATTGATGGGTGAGTGTTGACATCAATGGACACACTGGTCACAGTGCACGGACAAGAGTACAGGCAACAGCAGAAACACGCGCCGTAATGGGATAGCCTTTTGCCATGTATGAAAAAGTAGGAATAGGTTATACCCTTTCTGGTAAAAAAAAAAACACGTGTTAAGATGTTCAAACACCAAATAGATGCCTTTTGCAAGGAATCAAGTCTGCATTTTCCACACGTACTTGTGGTGAACATGCAAACAAAATGTGGTCTGATAATATTTGCTGCATTTAAAAAAAAACTGATTGGCCGATACCAGAGAATATGTCTTCTTTAGGGCCTAGTCTCACCAGTGTCAGACCAGAGAACACCAAAAGGTGAACAGCACAAAGACAATGCCACACGTATTAGAGCATGTATAGCTCGGGATGAGCAGCTACATCATGAGATACATTTTTTGCCAGTTATCAAAGTATGAAAAAAAATAGGTTTTACCCTAGAAACCTTTTGCAAGGAATAAAGTACGCATGAACCACACGTGCTTGTGGTGAACATTCAAGCAAACATGATCTGATTTAACATACATTATCTGATTTAGGCCAATCGGTTTCAAAGACAATGCATATATTATCAGAGCGTGTTTGTTTGCATGTTCACCACAAGTACGTGTGGGCTAATGCAGACTTGATTCCTTGCAAAAAGTTTTTATTTAGTGGTTGAACATCTTAACATCTGTTTTATTGCCAGAAAGGGTAAAACCGATTCTTATTTTTCATACGTACCGTTCAGCTACACACAGTACGTGAACAAACACACACACACGTAAAAGGGATACACGCGAGTACACAACAAATTAAATACATAATTAATATGGATTCTGATTTTTGTTCAATGTAACTGTATTATTCATTGTAATGGACAACAATATGAGCCAGAAAAAGAGGAAGACCTTACATAGAACGGCTTGACGACATCATAAGATATTGGTGCCAAAAAGTTGTAGCCACAAATTGAGCATATTGGCACAACGACAGACGAAAGTGGAGGCAAATGACGAAACGTGCAGTGGACACCTACGGGACTATCTGATGATGATGAACCATTACTCTGTGGCTTGTTTCTTTTCTTTCCCATAACTCTCCGTGTTCCGTGTGTCCTTCTAACAACAAACAAACCCCAGAAGATTTCTAAAAGTAAAGCGAATGAAAAAAAATCGTCTTCGGCGCCGGATGAGCAATGGGGAACCAAAGCACGAGCGACGGATTCTTTCTGGCCACCTTCGAGTATTCCGAGCACATCAAGGTGCTCATCTTCGTCGTGCTGCTGATGATCTACGCCTTCGCGGTCCTGGGCAACGGGCTCGTGGCCATCACCATTGCGGTCTCCCAGGAGCTCCACAAACCGATGCACATCCTCCTGTGGAACCTCTCCATCGTGGACATCATCGGCTGCACGTGCAGTGTGCCCAAACAGTTGCATATCCTGGTGACGGGCGACACGGGGATCTCCAAGGCGGCCTGCGTCGTGCAGGCGTTCTGCGTTCACTCCTTCGCCTCCATGGAGGTGCTCACGCTGGCCGTCATGGCCTTTGACCGGTACGTCGCGATCTGCACCCCGCTGCATTACCACTCAGTTGTGACCAACAGGCGGTCGGTGGCTGTGGTCGTGGTCATATGGACACTCACGGTCATCCTCCTGCTGGCTCTGAACGCGCTCATCATCCCGATGACGTTCGCCGACGACGAGAAGCAGATTCAAGGCATCTTCTGCGACAACACGGGGATCGTGGTTCACGCCACCTCGGACACTCGCACCAACACCTCGCTCGGCTCAGCACTCGTGGTGTTCTACAACGGTCCCTCCATGTGCCTCATCGCCTTCACCTACCTCAGGATCCTCACGGAGTGCAGGAAGAGGCGGTCGAGCGAGTTCCGGCGCAAGGCTCTGCACACCTTCGTCACGCACTTCCTCGCCCTCTTCATGTTTTTTCTGTCCGTGTTCATGGTCTTCCTCATCGGGCGCTTCACGAAGGACGACCGCAGCGTGCAGACGCGCAACACCCGCTCCATCGTGGAGCTCGCCATCCTGGTGATGCCCGTGGCGAACGTGCTCATATACTGCGTGCGCATGGGCGAACTCAGGAAGGCGATGGTCAAGGTGTTCTTCCCGAAGTTCTTCGCGTCAAGAAATGCCAAGGTTTCGACTGATGCTGCTGCTTCTACTAATGCTGTTGTTGTTGTTGCTGCTGCTGCTGCTGGATAGTTGACCCAGGCATAAGTAAACCATGAGCCTCGACACTGCAGCGTACCGCTCGGCGGTCTTTGCAGTGACAATGGCCGCACACGTGCACAGAGATAACGCTACGACAGAAACGACACCCTAAAGGATAACTTGGGCGACAGTTATTGTCCATAGCAGGCGCAGCCGTGCAATTGCTTTCCCCATGCCACTGATGATGGCAGAAAGAACTCCACGAGCGCGCCCTCCTAGAGGCTATCATTGTCTACTCTTGCACGCTACCCAGATGTCTTGATAGAGATCGGAGTAACCACATTTTACTCCACCGTACGCGACCTGCCGACTGACTGACTTACTCCGGCGTGCCCATTTAGAATTCTGGGGTGGGGGGTGGGAGGGGTGGTGTTTTTTTTTTTTAGAAAATTGACACCATTGCTTCAACCCCCGTGCCGAGAGATGGAATCGAACCGGCAACTTCCGGATAGCAGGTTCAGTGGGCTGCCCAAGATACCTTACACGACTCCAACGATTGACCCTCGTCCTTTTGTGGAAAACGACACAAACTCTTGAAGGTAAAATCGAGGACAACGGTCTACCCGCCTGAGCTTTTTTATTCGATGTTACCCACCAGTCCGACGAAACTGACATCGTTAGTAGCTTCAAGTCGCACGTCGCACCTGCAGCCCATATCGTCAGCAAAACCTGGAAGACCCACCATACCCTTTCCAGTCTCCCATATGTCCCCAAAAGCATCCACTGATGCTTCCATATTTGATCTTAAAGCAATCTTTGCCTCGGACGTCGCTGCCGTGCTCACTCGACTAAAGACCTCACATCATCTTCCCCACAAGGGATAGTAGAGTCACGAGCCCAGAGCTTTCAGCCCCCCCCCCTTCTGCCCCGTCTCCTCCCGCAATATAACCCGTCGGACATGCAATAGGTTCAATACAAAAAACCCTCATCCTCAGATGGTGGCGAGGATCTCCCTGACCTTGTCCTTCAGCCCTCATTGCTTGAACACATCTCCCGTATGTTGAACCTCTCAATCGAGGAATCGTCAGTTCCCCCCGGGGAGCGGAAACTTATTTTGGTGCACCCGCTTTCGTAAAGGAGGTGCCGCTATATGACCCAAATAACTGCCCGCCGATTTCGATGTTATCTACCCACCCCCTCCACCCTTGATCGAAATGTTTGAAAAGCTACCAGAAATACAAATAACTGACTTTATCCAAAACAATCACCTACTGCACCCCAAGTGATCTGAGCCTTAAGCGATATGTTTAGCACAATCTCGGCAGTGAATAATAAACATCTCAACGATCGGGCTACTAAAGACTTCGAGAGGAAGAGAGCGGCCAGGAGGAGGCTAAAGAGACAAGGTCAATAACGGACGTCGAGGGTGTTCCTTCAGTAGAACTCAAATTGAAAATAAATGTTACTAAAATTTCTGTGTGCAGAGCAGGGGCGGTTTCTTCATTAGGGCGATTGGGCGACGCACCACCAATGTCATTCAACCACAGTCACGCTTGCCGTCACTATCAGCCTCTAGATATAGTCCAATCAGCGTCATGTCACGTTCTGTGGAGTACCGCCTCTTTTGGGGCGATTTCACTCCGGCTGAGAATCGCCCCGAGTGGCCCCATAGACTTACATTCAAAGATGTTTTTTTTCGAACGGGGGCGCTCCCATGCATTCTCTATGGCTTCCGGGAGGGCGAGCCCTAACGTGCTTACGTCATCATACGTGCTAACGTCATCATACGTAAGCACGTTTCATCCAACAATATAATTTATCGCTACCTAGTGGAATCTTTAATAAAATAAACTTGAGTGGTTTGTTTTAATAGTGAGTATATAAACAAACAAGATGTATTGTAAGAGTCACTTTATTTTTCATTAATATTAAAGAAGTGAAGTTGCCTTTACATGCTTAAGCTGTTAATTTATTCATTGCATGGGTGGACCTTATCCTTATCAATCATCCAGACATTTGCCCCCCCTGAGAGATTTTGCAGGAGCCGCCACTGGTGCAGAGACTGTGGTCACTCGGAACAGACCGTGGAACATGAATCGACTCAATTGCTCACGTAACCACTCATCTCGTCACACTAGTATGCCGTGCAAATGGCTCGTGCTTTTTTTCTTAAGCCCCTTTGCGAAGGCGCTGTGTGAGTTACAGCAAGATAAGATGAGGATGCCCAATTCACGAACACGAAGGAGGGGGTCGTCGCAGCGACGACGCTCCACTGATGCCAACTTCGAAAGCGATCGCGTGGCTCACCAACCACCTCGACCCGCAAATCCACATCGGAGAGCCGTGCAAACATGGCCGTGAAATAAAGGCGGCGGTGTCAAATAGTGGCACATCAAGTGCTGCTTACCACTACGGCCATTCGTTTTTAGATGTTTAGGTTAGGCCACGTGACGAAACTATTTGACTAGATTTGTGTCGTGAAGACCCACTCCCATCACCACCCAACGCAGCTAAAAACGTTATAGGCGTTTGACGCGCTAGATAGTACTGCTTGAGCTCAACCGGCGAATTGCAAAAAAAAATACATTTGTTTACGTAATTTATTGCCCAATGTGTTTGTTGTGTCAAAATAAACCTAACACTGAATCCAGTAATACCACGGACAGGATCCTATTTGAGATGTGAAAAAAAGTTTTCTCTTTAAGTTTCACCGGGTGGTGATGGTGGTGGTGGCGATGATGTAGTTATGCGTGTGATGATTGTGGTAGCTGTGGTTGTAAAGAAGGCGGTTGTGGTTCATCATAGTAATGATGGTTGCGCATTGGCTATTACTATGAATGTGTACAAGGGCAGGCACAGACTGAATATGATCACCTGTACCGTGTGAGAGGCTTCTAACGCCGAGAGAGAGCATGGAGCTTCCGTTCTTAATCATCTACCTCGTCCGCACGGCTCTCTTCGAGTCACAGAAGAGCAATCTCTTAAGGAAACAACTGATCCTCATCTCTGGCAGAGGCAGATACCTGATCCACAAGTGGAAAATTAAAACTCTCCAGTATGCGACTGTGGTCATCTGAAACATCATATCACACATATATCTAGCATTCATGGACACGTATGTATGCATGTATGTGTAGAGACAGTGCGTGGGTGGAGACAGTATGTGTGTGGAGACAGTGTGGGTGCAAAGACAGTGCGTGGACTAGCGGTCACGAGCGGAAATTACAGGGTTGATAAATAATAGAGGGTGAGTTGTCACAAGGGGGAATCGCCAGGGACGTTCGGGAACAGGCGAGAGAATTCCAGAAAGGGGGCGTCGCCAGGGTCGGAGTGAGGGCCACACCGGGGATGAAAGGAGGTGAGAGGGGATGCCGTGGGATCGGGGTCGTCGCTGTCTTCGCGTCGTCGCTATTGCATGTCATCCCTGGCCCAAGTTATTTGCGTGAAGCGTCATTACATATATATGTTGAACTTCTTTCGCACGGTATTTAGCCAATCGTGCCAATCCTAAGTGCCGTGCGAAGGACAACGAACTTAACGCCGTGTGCATAGACGATGCTGTGCGAGTTCATGGAAATGTGGCGGTAAGGGAGGTTTGTGAGAAATCGTTTCAACTCAACCGCCGGTGAGTTGGGCTGAAGCGACGGTGACAATCGGCACTTGCTTGGTTTGTCGCTCATTTACGCGTCAATAACTTTAACTTGTTTTGCTGCGTCGGGCGGCGGAGGGCTTTGACGACACACACTTGGTCAGGTCGTCGTCACGTTTCCTCGCTGATAATGATAAAAAAAATGGTGAATCATAATTTTGCCTGTGAATCCCTACTAAGTCTTACTGTTGTTACTAAGCGTTTCTGGACTAGTACATATCGGCTGGCTAGTTTGTATGTATATATGTTATTAAATATCTTTGTCATGTCGGCATGGGGACTGTGAAAATGTGTCTATTGATGCCCCCCCAGCACTTCAGTTACAAATGTGTTAAATGCTTCTCTTGTTACAGTCCATGATGTTAATTAAGATAAATTTGAGATGTAGTTTGTGTCTTGCTTAAATGTCTCTCCGACAAGTAGTATGCTGTATATACCACATATAACGGGCTCGTAAGCCGTGAGTTGGTTTTGAATCATCTTGTTTTTGTAACAGCAGAAATACAGACCCAAAATTGAAAAATATAAATCGTCACCATCTTACGTGAAGACCATCCTTTCCAGACAGCCTATTAGTGACAATAAAACAACATCCCATTATGACGATTCCCCTTAGCAATAGACTAAAGTGGATCAACACATGATGATGATTCATCTTAGCAATAGACTAAGGTGGATCGTCACATGATGATGATGATGATTTATCTTAGCAATAGACTAAGGTGGATCGTCACATGATGATGATGATGATTCATCTTTGCAATAGACTAAGGTGAATCGTGACATGATGATGATTCATCTTAGCAATAGACGACAGTTGTCTCTACAATAGATGAGCATTGACTGTTCCAGTGAGTAAAAGTGAAGTCACGGCATGACCCTCACATACAATCACAGACATAAACATGTAGATATATTAGCAATTAGGACGTGCACAATAAACTTTACTCAAGTAAACAGGTGTGTGTGTGTTTAAGTTTAAATGTGTGTGTGGAGAGCGATGGTGCTACGGTTAGAGTGCTGCGCTAAGAATCTGGCGACCCGAGTTCGATTCCCGCTCACGGCTAACACCAGTGACGATTATCTGAATCGCTCCTGGGCCTCCCCTAGGTCGACTCAGCCTCAAATGAGTACCTGGTGCGATGTGTAGTAAACATCGCCAATGGGGAGACAAAGGCGGCCGGGCGTGGTGGTGGCCACTCATCCCTCGTGTGCCGTGCTCGCTAACAGCACTTGCCTCAAAAAGTATGTTAAGGCTATACGGGTAATATTTGTCTTTATATACATTTGTATGTATATAACGTCAGTGGTCGAAATTATCTGGTACACCACAGTTTGCCATATTGGCACTTGTCAGAATACCTAAATGTGCTAATCGCACTCCGATTAGCACGGTTGGCTACGTACGGTGCAAAAGAAGTTCAACATCCTTACAGCGTATTGCATACGAGCACTTCTCACAACGTTTTAAACCTAAAGCAATGCGAGTATTTATTTCAAGGATGGTGAATATTAGGCTGTAAGTCGGATAGGTTCAGACCGGCACTAATACATTTCCATGTCGACCACGGATTCGTGTATGTATTTAAGTTGAACTTCTTTCGCACCGTACGTAGCCCACCGTGCTAATCGGAGATGCGAGTAAGAATAGCGGTGCACATAACCTCCTAATGACTTCTGGTTCTGAAACATCGACAATTCTTCTTTCTTGCGAACGATGTCAGCAGCAACATGTTAGCTACCTCGCCTGGTATACAGGAGGTCGTGAGTTCGATCCTGACCCTGACGCCCGCTGTATTTGGAGTTTGCGTGTCTCTCTCCCCGTGGTCGTGTGAGTTTTCTCCGGATCCTCCGGGTTTTCCTTACACACCTAGAATCAAGATCACGCGTTTCGAGTATTTGGCTGCTATACATTTCCACGTGACGAGCCACTTCGTTGAGCTATCATTTGTGGCTGGGTCGCTTCTGAAAAAGACCTACAAAAAATGGGCCTTACCTGGTAAAAAAAAAAATTGTTTAGTTTCTTCAGAAGCGATATGCTAATATCCAGGTCTGCTAGCTATGACGAGAGGTTTTCATGGGAGAGAGAGAGTTCGCGTCGTTGTGTGGCATGGAGTGACGCTTGCTTCCAATTACACTGAAAGACAAGAGGCGGTTGGCGAATACACTAAAAACTTTACTTTTTTTATTTTACAAGGTAATGCCCACGGAGCTCTATTTCTGAAGCGACCTGGCCTTCACAAATGACAGCTCAACGAAGTGGCTCATCACGTGGACATTTAAAGCAGCAGCCAAATTATTGAACCGCGTGATGTTGATTCTAAATGTGGAGAGAAATCCGGATGACCTGGAGAAAAATCCACGCGACCACGGGAAGAGATAGAGACACCGCAAACTCCACATATACAACAGGTGTAAGGTTCGGGATCGAGCCCACGACCTCCGGTATACCAGATGAGGTAGTTAACATCTCGCCACCGCTAGATTTAATTTGGCCGCTGCCCTAATCATTGACGCTTAACGCCAGCGATGGGGCTCTCTCTCTCCCTAGTGGCGGACAACTGCCCGACTCCGCCGGTTGAGCGTTGTGTGTGGTCTCTGCCTTCGCCGCTGTTCAATCGCCGTCGTTACCGCCACCTGCAGCCCGCCCACCAGAGCTGTGGCGGGGATTTGGGGGTCAAATTTCCCACCTGGCCACCCAGCAGGGGTCGGGCGTGCTCGTAGAGTCGCAGGCCGGCAATGGATGACCAAAAGCACCATTTGATCATGATGGCACGTGTATGCAGCATTTTGCGACCAATATTATGATTGATAATTATTCATATTTTTTGGGTGCGTGGTGGGAGGGGTGGGGGGTCAGATCACTTGAGTAAAATGTATTGCGTCGTTCACCCTCCTCCACCCGACACAGCAAATGGATATACTTGTCACGCGAACTAACGTACAATTCAACCACCTGGTGATGCACGTTGTAGCGACCCGTCGTACCTAATTATTAAATGTGTGCGTGTATTGGTCTCCCACAGCCTACCGGTGGTGCTGCTGAAGCAGAATTCTCTTCGGCTCGTTTGTTCATCACGTGACAACCTTATTCATTGTCCGTATCGGGTGGTAGAGGGTGTACGACGCACATTTTACTCACGCGATCTGATTTTTTAAATTAATCATGGCTGTACATGTATGTTAAAGGCTATGTGATTTTTACATCCGCTAAGCCTATAAAGTTTTAAGTTATGCCTTCTATCTCTACCATGCTATCGTTATGCTATCTCCCTCGCCTGATATGCAGGAGGTTGTGGGTTCGAACCCGACCCTGACGGCTTAAGTCTATTTGGAGTTTGCATGTTCTCCCCATGGTCGCGAGGATGTTTCTCCGGGACCTCCGGTTATTCCCTCCACATGTATCATCAACATCACGTTCAGAATATTTGACTGCTATACATTTCCACGTGATAAGCCACTTCGTTGAGCTATCATTTGTGGCTAGGTCGCTTCTGAAAAAGAGCTATTCAGCTCAGTGAGCCTTACCTGGTAAAGTAAAATATGAATAGTTAGTTATAGTGCACTTTAATGCATCAAAGCCATCTGGTCGACTTGTTCGTTATTCCCCATGGAGTGTCCCATTAGGGGGTCTCAGGGGCCGTGCAGACGAACTGCGTGGGGCGGCGAGAGGGGGGCACAGGGGATAGGCGGCAGCCTGAGGATGTCACCTCGCGGGTTTCTCTCCACGGAAGTTGTTCCAGATGACCTCCCCGTGCCCCCCACCCTGCCTCCCCCCCGCCACCAGCCTCGAGCTCCATCCTTCCAGTGCCAAGGAACAAAAAACACGCACACGCATGGGTTTCTGCAGCGATTTCCAACACGCCTTTAGTCCTTGGAAGTGGTTTTAACTCGCGATGAGGATAATGGGACCCGGCCCTGCCAGCGGCTCTGCCGTGGAGGACGCGGGTAACCTACATCATCTACTCGCTATAGTCAGTCCGAAATAGCAACACAACTTTAGACTGCGGGTGATAATGGTGTTGATGCATTGACAGTGGTGGACGAGCACAGTCAACAAACAACAACCAACAACAAAAACTCGACACGCTCGTCAACAACACTGCCTGAAAAAAAAAAGTTATCGGCGACGTTTCGGACAATGGCCCTTCTTCATAGCACAGACTTGTGCGCTGGTGTTCTAAAGTTCATATTTGATCAACTTTACGAGAGTTACCGTGCCCCCTAGCCCGTTACAGACAGACCGACAGACTAACAGAAAAAGCGAAAGCACGAATGCCTTTAATCTTCCTTCAAAGGCACTGACAACATAGCAACGTAGCATATAATGCAACGTTTAATATGTAAGTATTTTAACACATAGGCTCTCGCAATCAATATTATCCATCAAAAAGGTTTTTTTTTGGGTTAGGTCGCGTAAATTTCAATGTGTTGTTAAACCCGCCACCACCAGACACAGCCAATTAGTAAGGTTTGTCACGTAGGCAAAAAATGCCAATTCGCTACTAGTATAATTACTGGCGAAACGTCGTACTCGAATTTTAAAACGTTGTGGGTTTACTCTCCAACATACCGGTGCGCTGTGCTGGTAACGAATTTGTATGTTTGTTCACGTGACAAACATTACTAATTGGCTGTGTCGGGTGGTGGCGGGTTTAACGACACATTTATATTTACGCGATCTAACCCAAAAAAAACCTCTATTATGGAGGTGTGAGCATGCTTGCCGTGTGGTCGTTGTTCACCACTGCAGACCCACGGTCTCAGCCACACGACTGCTCTGTTGGCACCAAGTCAAAGGGACGTGATCGCGACTCAAAAAACGATTGTACGCTCCAACTCCATCGGAGCACCCAGCCTGTCCATGTAATGCCCGGGTGATGACCCCAACGCTGGCATGAGCAGGTTACTCATATGATCACCATGATGCTTCTCCACCAGCTAAGATGGTATTACGATTGAGTTGTATCATACATTATCTCACTTTACAAAGCACGGCTTGCTTTGCAGTAAAGCTGGACTTTACGATTAATTTATTAATTGCTTAATATACTCCGTTCAATACAAATAACCTCTGGACTGGGTTTCGAACACATCAGCAGAGTCAAGCTTGTTTGAACCGATGTATTTCGCTTCCAGATGTTTATAGGCAAGGACTCTCAATGACCCTGTTAGATTTGGGGTCTTCGTGGGATGTGCAAAATATACTTTTCTACTTTACGTGGAGAGACAGAAATGAGAAAAATTTTCAAACAAATGTTTGCTTATTAATTTTGTCAATTATATTATCTAAATCGACGCAAGGTATTATTTTGTGTTGTCTGTTATAAATAGTTATAGTTAAGGACACGTTCAATGACTTTGTAGTTGTGGATTGTGTCAATAGGAGAACTAAGCGTCAGAGTGATCCATGGTGTCAAAATTGAAGAAGACAATTCACCATTTGGAGGAGAGCAGTTTCAGTAGAATCGCTTTTCATTTAAACCAGACCATACTCAATCGTGGAGTACAGCGGAGGGAGAGGAGCTTGGAGAGATGGAGAGACGTTCACGTTTTTTTCGAACGTTTACAAGACGAGGGGAGGTTTGAGACGAGAGTGGAATTTTCAGGGGCCCAGTTTAGATTTATTTTTACAGAACGACATTGACAGTGACGTTCTCGAGAGCTGACAGAGTGGTGCTGGACAAACACGGGGACATTGGTAAAACTGGTAATATTCGGCGCCACATTGGGAAGGCAATGAGTTATGAACTTGACAGGCAGAGGATCATCGGGTGGTGGAAGATGGAAACCCTTCATCATGCGCGCCCCCCACTCTACTCAGTGAGAAATCACGACCAACGCCATCATCAACCCGGCTACCGAACATCGATCAACGATCTCCCGGTCTCCAGAGCAACAACTCAAGCGGATCGCGAGGCGGTCAACACAGAAGGTTGATGAATAAGGACTACCATTTCAGTCGAAAGACCTTCTAAAGTAAACTATAAACTAAACTGATTTTTATTGTACCAGGTAAGGCCCACTGAGCTATACAATACAGCTGTTTTGCAGAAGCGACCCGGCCACAAATCAAAACTCAACGAAGTAGCTTATCGTGTGGAAATTTATAGCAGGCAAATACTCGAAACGCGTGTTTCTAAATGTGGAGGGGAAAACCGGGAGGACCCGGAGAAAAAATCCACACCATCACGTGGAGAGAGACATGCAAACTCCAAATATACAGGTGTCAGGGTTGGGATCGAACTCACAACCTCCTGCATATCAGGCAAGGAAGATTACATAACGATAGCATGGTAGAGACAAAAGGCTTAACTTAAAACTTTAGAGGCTTAGTGGACATCAATAATTAATACATCACCTTTAACGTACACGTACAGCCATTATTCATACCTGGCGAAGTCGTTAACATCTCGCCACCTTCTGCGGTCTCAAAGTTCCAAGCCTGGCTGACCGCAGCGGTAATTACGGTTTTTTGAGAGAAAGAGAGAAAAAAAGGCAGCAATCCCAGGGTTTGTCTCGAGGTTATTTCAAGTCATAGTTTCTGCGTTGGGGAGAGGAGTTGTGGTGGGGGCCGGGGGCACTCAGCAGGCCCAGGGGGTGGGTGGGGGGCTCGGAGCAAGTCCACTCGTGCCCGAGCCCGCCTCGACACCGGCCTCCCCATCAACCCCACGCGTGGTGCCTCATTAGCAGAGAGACTGTCAAGGTGTGGGGGGGCGGGGGAGTTCACGTGGGAGGGGGGGCGCTGAAGTAACCCCCCTGTGCCCAGGCTGACGCACGCGGTGCGCGTTCCCCCGCGCGGACGCCCGGCGGCCCCCACACACCGGGAGGAGTGAAGCGACAGCCGCTCCGGGCGGCTTGCGGCGGCGAGACGGAGACGTCAGCGGACCTCCCCACCCCACCCCCTAAAAAATATATCATCGCCGTCATTGTCATTGCCTGTCTGTGTTGAGTTTTTTCCGTCTTTCATGTTCGCGTTGATTGAATTGCATCTCTCGCACGGACGATTGCGGAGGTGGGTTTTTTTTACGAATGGAACAACAACAGGAGCCAGCGTCTCCATCCGTGCGCGGTCAAAAATGTGGGATGGGAATTGGCGGAGAGGGCACATGCTCGAGATATCAGCAACATACATTCATTTACAGCCCCGTGTCGACCCACTGCTGGATGAAGCGCTCTGCACGCCACGACAGTCATGGGGGGGGGGGGTATTTGACCACCACTTCGCCACGCTGTCAAGTTCCGCATGGGTAACAATTTAGACGTACATGTGGTGAATAAAAACGAACCCCGCCTCTGCTTCACTGTCACTGAAAAAATGTTGAGCCCCGGAGCACTCTAAAATACGTGTTTGTGTGTGTTATCGTGTATTCTCTAGTGGGGAGCGGTAGTGTAGTGGTTAACGCGCTGCGCTATGAACCCGGCAACCCGAATTCGATTACCGCTCATGGCCAACACCAGTGATGAATATCTGAACCGGTCATGGGGCCTCCTCAAGGTCGACTCAGCCTCAAATGAGTACCTGGTGTGGTGTGTAAACATCGCCCCTAAGGAGACAAAGGCGGTCGGGCGTGGTGCTGGCCACCCCCTCGAGTGCCGTGCCGATCTTTATAGGTGCTCGCTAACAGCACTTTCCCCAACAGTCTGTTAAGGCTACACAGGGGATCTTTATCTCGTCTTTGTCTCTCCACATACAGCACACTCGCTCAACATTGCCTTGAGAATAACTTCTCATTTTGATATTTTTACGCGTCTTAATTCATAAAGCATTGCGATGTCATATTTAGTGGCGACGAGTTCCTAATGAAAAAATACATTGAATGAATGAACATGATTCCTGTTCATGACAGAGAGCATCCCTGTGGCGTTAGGCGCTCGTGTAAGCGGGTTTCACCGCAGTTAGCCAATCTGCGGATCCCAGGCTGCACCCGGTAGGGTAAAGCGTGTGCTACTCCCACCTGTTCCAAGACGTCTGTCCAATGCGAAAGAGTAGAGCAAATACACGCTCTGTCTGTCTGCCTGTCTCTCTCTACAAGTGCTACGTTGTAACTCTCTCACTCGAGCGGAAGGCCCTTCCACCAAAAGTGGCGCGAGTGAGGCATTGCAGGGCTGCTCCTTCGCCTTCTAGGGTACGCGTGGAGAGCCGTCGCTCGCTCTCCTCTCTCTCGGTTGTTAACAACACAAAAGAGGCGCGCGGGTCGTGCTAAAAGTGGCATCGCACACTGCCGAAGAGGGACTTCTCCGCGTCCCCGACGGATGCGAAACGCTCCATGAGCTCTCGAGAATCGAGCGGGAACACGCGGTCGTGGGGGGTAGCAGGAGGTGGCGAGGGGGGGGGGACCCTCACCGCCGTGCTGAGTTGCGTGACCGTCTGACGAGCGCCGGCAGCTTTGCGAGCCCGCGAGCTTTGCTTGCTGCTAATGAGGCGCTAACGAAATTAATTGGCCGCTTCCTCCTCTTCCTCCCCGCCCACGCGCAGGTAGCGGCCGGGCGGTGACGGGGGGGGACATCGCCTGCCTGGTGCCCGGTCGCGCGCGCGTGGGAGGGAGGGTGAGGAGGGATGGAGGCAGGGCAGGGTGGGGAGGGAGGGAGGGTGAGGAGGGAGGCAGGGCAGGGCCAGGGTGGGGAGGGAGAGCAGGGAGGGGGGACAGGGTGGGGAGGGAGAGCAGGGAGGGGGGACAGGGTGGGGAGGGAGGGAGGCAGGACAGGGTGGGTAGTAAGGGAGGCAGGGCAGGTTGGGGAGGGAGGGCAGGGAGGGAGCGAAAGAGCATCGGGTCGGGGCAAGCTGAGCGGGCAACTGTCGCACGAGTCACAACACCGGCACGATCGGCTGCCACACTGGCAGCAACAACAGAAACCACCACCAACAACAACCACCACCAACAACAACCACCAAAAACTCCAACAATTTGCTTCTGACTTCGCACTGCTCCGCTTTGGAATTCTCACTGTTGTGCAGTAAGATCAAGGTCAAGGCGCTGCACTGCAATTTCTGTCTCAAGCTCATGCTGGTGGAAGGGTCTCCACTATAATTACATCTGGAGAGCCCCTCTCAAGGGTATGCTTGGCCTACTCCTCCATGCCGGACATATGTCTTGGAAAAGAGGTTGCACCCACACTTTACACCACCACACCCGATCTAACTGTGGTGCCACCACCATTCATACCGCCGGCGCGGGGGGAGATTTAAGAAACTTCCTTCATCGGTTTAACTCCCGCGCCGGGAGATGCCTAACCAGCGACCTCTGCATTGCAAGTCCAGTGTGCTGACCGCTACGCCCACGGCGGCATCGCTATCGCTATAAGTGGAATAAATCTTTGTCAATGAGCCACGATAAGTCGCGAGAACTGTCGCTGCAGGTGTCCTAAACCTCCTGTCAGCCATTAGCACGGTTGGCTACGTACGGTGCGAAAGAAGTTCAACATACATGCATACAGCCATTGATAACCTTCAGCCACAGTTTTTTTTTCTGATTGTGGAACATAATTGGTTTATTTATTATTATTTGTTTAAGGAGTGCCACAGTGGCGTGATGTAAACTTCCTCGCCTTGTATGCAGGAAGTCGTGTGTTCGATCCTGACCCTGACGCCTGCTGTGTATTTGGAGTTTGCGTGTCTCTCTCGCCGTCATCGTGTGGATTGTTTTACTCCGGTCCTCCGGTTTTTCGCTCCACATTTATAATAAAGGTGCGTTTAGAGTATTTGGCTACTATACATTTACACGTGATAAGCCCACTTCGTTGAGCTATCATTTGTGGCCAGGTTGCTTCTGAAAAATAATTAAAAGCTCAGTGGGCTTTACCTGGTAAAATACAAAAAGTAGGTTCGGTTAAGTTTATTTATTTTTAGTGATGTGCGTATCTTTCCTATACTTTGCTGCTATCATTTTTTGTATTGTTTGTTGTTGTAACTTTCTGACCCCGTGCCCCTACTGGATATCTGTGGAAAAAAGAGCTTCATAGCTCATCGGATTTCTCCGTGATAAATAAAGATTCTGATTCTCATGGCCATCACGTGAAGCATTAGAACAAACATCTCAAGCACGGCTGTCAAAATCCAAAGTGATTTCCTGGTCAATGTCAGCACTTGGGCGGTGCTCATTTACCATTTACAGCCTTGCGCCAGTGGTGGAAATTCCACATTCACATGGCAGAGGACATCCGCTGTTAACTTTCCCGCGAAGTGTTTACTCACAGTGTCGACCCCGGAGGGATGATTGGCTGAACTCGTAGCCAGAAGGATGTGAGCTCTCCAGGTGCAACCCAGACCGAGCAACGAAAGGCAGGGAATGTTCGCTGCCTCGAGTTAGACACCGAGAGAGGGCGCGTTGTCCTTGCATTGATGGGGCATTGTATAATTATCTTCATCGGGTGAATAAAGATGTATTTTTTGTAGCATATGAAGAAAGATATTTAGAGACACGTGTTTACATAGGGTACTGGGAGTACTAGGGGGTGGGAGCATGCTTCCCCCCGACCCCTTGGCTCCTCCCCCCCTAGTACCCTATATCAACATGTGTCTCTAAATAGCTCTCTTCATACGCTACAGTAATTTTGCTGGAGCAGTCACACCTGATGACGGATGCTTGTGTTGCTTCCGACACGTCGTGATTTAATTTAGTTGTTTTATTTAGAATATATTTTGTTTTCACCTACGTGACTTTACCGAAAAAAACAAAGAGTATGGATCCTTGCAGTCACGAAAACTTCTAATCTATAATGTATTTTTTTTCATCACGAAATAATACCGTGCAAAATGCCTATTCTGTACGATTCTGTTAAATTGTGCACACACACACACACTTACGCCAGCCTCGTAATGTTAAGGGGGGCTGGAGGTGGGGGGGGATGACCCCCTTTCTAAATTCTTGTTAAAAACTGACCACAACTGAGCGATGGGCGTCGCATGAACGTCCGATTATCACGGTTGGCTTCGTTACGGTGTGAAAGAAGTTAAACATACACACGCAACCTCCTCTTCTCAGATGACCTTCTCCTATCTCGGGGTGGGGAGGGTGGGTGAGAGCCAGAGCAGAATGTGCGAAGGACAAACGCAGATCGCATCGTGACCCATTCCGTTTAGCGTTCTATCATTTGGTCAAAGTTAACACTGCTTGTTCTGTGCCCTCCCTCCTCCCATAGGTGTTGTATTGACCCCCCCCCCCCTTTAAACAAGCTCATGCTGATGTACACAGGCCTGCACAAGCCCTTGCACATCTTCTTGTGCAGCCTGGTGGTGACGGACGTGATCGGCAGCACGGCGTGCATGCCCAAGCAGATGCAAACCCTCCTGACAGGTGACAGGCAGATCCTAGCGCTTGCCCTGCATGATTCACATGTTCTGGAAATTGTATATATTGTTTTTTTCATTCAATATCACAATCACAGCCGTTCCTGATGGTACAGCGAATCCGGCAACCGCCCTGGGCCCCGTGCTTTGGGGGAGGGGGAGGCTTCAACGGCGTCACGTGGTGTCAGATGTAATACTTCCGGTTTAGTTTGAAGGCGTTGGGGGGCCCACACGGTCGGGTTTGCCTCGGGCCCCGCACCCTCAATATGGATGATCCTGAACACAATCACACACAGAGGTCGGTTTAACACGTAGGCTTTTGCGACTAATATCATTCATGATAAAAGTGTTTTGGGTTAGATCGCGTCAATATATAAATGTGTGGAATTCACAAATCTGGCTGTCACCTGATGAAGCTAGTTGTAATTACTAGCGAAACGTCGTACTCAGATTGTAAATGTTGTGGCCTGGCTCTCCAACACATACCGGTGTGCTGTACGAGTGACGAATTGGCATGTTCTGTTTACGTGACAACCCTTACTAATTGGTTGTGTCGGGTGGTGGCGGGTTTAACGACACATTTTTTTTTACTTTACGCGAACTAACCCCCCAAAAAAACCTGTATTATGGACAATCACATACCCTGATCACAATCCTAGGAAAGCACCCCCAGAACCCATTCTCTCTACCCCCCCGCCCCCCACCGCCGAGAGTCAGGGGTACGGCCAGAGAGGCGACGCTCACTCGACTGTACCACCGCACAAGATGACAGCTGCATAAACAACTCTTTAATTCAAAATTCGCTGAACTCCCATTTAAATTCGTGTCGGCTCAGAGAGATCTTCACTTAGGGTGTTTTATAGTTACTGCCCAGACATTGGGGATTACCATTTGTCCTGGACATGGCACCTGTGTTCAGATAGCAGACATTGATTTGCACCGAGATTTTGAACTGGGACTGTGTTGAACTTTATCACTGTGGCTTGCGCAGTGTTTATGGCCACAGACTGAATTATAAATACGTTCCGGTTTGTTCTGTGGCCAAGGTGGCAACCGGACCAGGCCTGCAGAAGACCACTTTGGCACATCAGAACTAAGGAGGCACTTTCGCTGCTTATGCCACTCGCCATCATGGCCGCGGCTCACAAACATTCACAAAATCAAGACGGCAACAACAAACAACGCTCAGCACAGAAGATCAGAGGAGTCATACAATAAAGAGATTGAAAACTCATTTCTTTAGAACAGTTTTAGTGTGTGTGTTTAGTTTGCTGTCCTTCCCCCGCACCCTCCGACTAGCACGGTTGGCTACGTACAGTGCGCCGTAGCCATGGAGTCAACATTAGGGGGGGACCAAATCTTTCAGGGGGTCTGGGGGTCCCCCCCCCAGAAAAAAGATCTAAATTTGAAAACTAATTTCTTGCCTAAAATATAAAAAGCACTAACACATAGGATGGACTTTTTATTTAATTTTTACAATAATGTCTAATAGTGTATTGTATTACATTGCTCTTGTTTTTCTTTTTTACCTTTTCTTATTTCATTGTATGTAATGGCAGAGATTAGAGAGTAATAAAGTACAACCATAACCACAATCAAATAAACCGAAATCTATTTTATAGAAATATATTGGGGGGGACATTTTGAGCATATTTTAATATTGGGGGGGGGGGTGTCCCAATATATATTATAATTATGGCCTTGATACATACATACATAGAAACATATAAATAATAGGTCCCTTCTTCAACACACGGGTAGCTTACGTTATCGGTCCGCGCACCGAGATCGCTTTGCTAACGAACGGGGAGCTTCTCGGATCACCTCGATGTCATTAGGGCGTCGTTAAGTGACGGCCGCGTCCCCTCAGCCGCATCTCTAATTGAAGTCGCAGACGCACGCGACGTTCGTGACACGAGGCGAGGGCATCCCCAAAAGGGTTTTGAGGTCATTACTGTTCACGTGGGCTTGCAGGCTCATCATATAAATGATGGGCAACCTGACGCGCGTGGCATTTGAGGGAAAGGTGGCAGGGTTAGGCTCTGCTCAAGTGTGAGTGAGTTACGCATATATTTTTAAGCTGAATAATATATCTTTATAGTACTGTTTTATATGATTTTAACACGTCTATTATGTGTTGATTTAAAACTTTAGTGACTGCATGAATTCATATTCTTTGGTTATTTCGGTTGTTTTCTATCTACGTGACTTTACCGAAAGAACCAAAGAATACGTCTATTATGCCTTCAGCAATGGTGCCGCTTGTTCAAATAAATCAACCGCGATTCATATCGTACATGAATGCCCAACATTTTTAATGTATAAAATACGAGACATTTCTTTTGAAACAGCAAAGTAATGAACCCGAGGCAAGCAATGCATAACTAATATAATCTTTTATACAGCATTATCATTAAGACCAATTACTAAAATTAAGGAATAAGACAGCAAAAGTCTGTGCCTAGCTGGCGTCATACAGTCACACTCCAATGCAGTTGCACTGAAGTGGTGGGTCTTGACTTGAGTTAAAATCTCTTCAAACTATCTGCTCCTCTGACGTTTATGTGGCGATTGTTCCATAACGTTGGAGCGACCTCGCCTGACGCTTCGTGCTTATTGGCCTTTGTGCCTTGCAAATGTGATTTTAGAGATGAAAACAATTTGGCTAATAGTGAGTGTAAGTGCACTGCAGTGGACTAATTGTGTGCGCATATATACAGGGTGCTTCAATTAAGTTTTTAACACTTATATGGAACTATCGTTTTTTATTGAAAAAGAACGGATAATACACTGTAACATGATGACAAATGTATGTTATCGATTAAAAAAGTCAGAGAGTATCCACTTGTTCGCCATCATTGTCAACACGTGCCTGGAATCTTCTGCAGGTGGTCTCCAGAGCCCGGGGAGGCACATTTGTCGTGGTATTGTTGCGAATTCTCAGAAGTGTTCACATTTTTTTAAGCACCCTGTATATATCAAAATAGGGTTCTGTAGAACAGAGAGATGCATCATGTCGTTTCTCTTTGCCTAAAACTTGCGTGCAGGCCACGGACGTGATGGAGAACAGCAGCAGCGTCGTCTACCTCGCCACGTTCCAAGCCCCGTACCTTGTCAAAGTTGTCATCTTCAGCCTGTGCGTGCCGCTCTTCGTTATCACGGTTGTGGGCAACCTGCTGGTGCTCGTGACTGTGGCCGCATCCCGGAACCTGCACAAGCCCATGAACATTTTCCTGTGCAACCTGGTCGTGAACGATGCCATCGGCTGCACGAGCAGCGTGCCCAAGCAGCTGCACATCATCTTGACGGGAGACACCCAGATATTTTACTCATCTTGCATCGTGCAGATGTTCTGGATCCACTTTTTTTCGATCAGCGAAATATTCACGCTCACAGCAATGGCTTATGACCGCTACCTGGCCGTTTGCTACCCTCTGCGCTACCACGCGATCATCACCAACAGACGCGCGGTCATAGCCACAATTGTCATCTGCATGCTGGCGGCAGTTATTGCAGGCAGCCAGACTATTCTCATCATCCCACTGAAATTAAAGGACAAAGATCGACAGGTCGATGGCATTCACTGTGACAACATGGGCATACTCCAGCTGTCCGCGTCCGACACACGCATAAATGAGTCTTACGGCTCGGCATTGATCGTTATTGATGTAGTGGCTTTGGGCATCATCGGGTACACTTACTTTAAGATAATTGTCGAATGCAAAAAATCTCGGTTGAATCAGGCCAGAAATAAATCTATAGAGACTCTAATCACCCACTTCCTGGCTCTGTCGATATTTTTCGTGGCAATATTCGTGGCGATCCTGGTCCCGCGGTTCATAAAAAAGACGGAAGATTCCGCGTCCAGAAATATAAAGTCTGCGTCGCAGCTCGCCGTGTTTGTGGTGCCGATCGCCAACGTGACAATCTACCTCTTCAGAACAAAAGCGCTAAAGAAAGCGATCGTGTTTCACTGCCACAGGTTAATGCTCGTATTTCACCTGCGGTTGCACAAAGTTCAAGCTGTAGAAGAATAAATCTGAATACCTATTATAGGCGAGCCGCTATATATTAAAAAAAAACTATTTCTGGGACTCTGGTGAGAAGTGGCTTAACCATGCTTGCCATTGAGCATTCTCACGTAAAGACGCCTAGTAATTTTTCAACGTTTTAACATCCAAAGTGTATTTTTCCAAACATTGAACGCCTCTACGATCCGTGTGCTGTTGGGTTGTGCCGCGTGTCGTTCGGCATGACTCCCAGCACGTGGCGCGAAACGTCGGACATTGTTCCCAACAACACGCAGCACAACCCAAAAAAGCACATATCGCAGAGCCATACAGCGCAACCACAAAGGCAGCACAACCAACGCACGTAGCCGTGACACTCATCACCTTGGCACATCTTGACAATAATTATGTTCTCATGTGTGGTTACACCTTTCTCAAGTACCGTCTATGCCTGGTCAACTTTGTCTTGAACAAGTTGCTCTCTCTCTTGACATGAGTCGTTCGAATCAATGCAGCCTGCATGTCCAGGTGTCTTTCCAACAGCTCTGTTCTTCACCTGAGGACGGCTGCTTGCGTTGTGGCCGAAACGTCGTGAGAATTATTATTATTTGTATTATTTTTATTTTATTATTTCCCTTCTACGTGACTTTACCGAAAGGACCAAGAATATGTCCAGGTATTTCAAGACAAATAAAAGCGATACATTGAAATTATATGTTTGAACAGTTTGCAATGTTTTGGTTCGTAAATGAGACCAAACCAAAGTGTGAAATCAACTGCGATTCATGGTGTTGTAATGCACGGCAGACATAATTACCGGACCTCGCAGACTAAGGCACATTTGAGACTTTCAGTTCTGCGTTAATGCCCAATGATCGCAGAGTGCATTGTTGCAGGCAATCGCCGATTAGGTATCGTGATTAAACATCAAAAAACAAATTGATAGAGCAATATATTATAATTTGTCAAACTTTAACGGGTTTCCACGGTGGCGAAATGGTATCTTCCACGCCTGATATGCAAGAGGTAGTGGGTTCGATCCCGACCCTGACGTCAATATATTTGGAGTTTACACGTGCTTCACGTAGATCTTTCTCCGGGTCGTGCGGTTTTTCCCTGCACATTTAGAATAAACACAACGCGTTCAGAGTATTTTTCTGCTCTACATTTCCTCATGATACGCCACTTCGTCGAGCTATCATTTGTGGCCAGGTCGCTTCTAAAAAAAGAGCTACATAGCTCAATGCTCCTTACCTGGTAAATTATAAACAGTTTAGTTTAAAGCACGTGTGAATGCATGCAATGAATGCAAAAGAATCAAAATAACAAAGGGCATCAATTGACGCAAATGGCTCAACGGGTAGAAATTCATCGCCTCCGAGTCCTGAGCACACAGCTCACAGCTCACGTTACAATCTCCGCTCGACTGACGTTGCGGAGCAGCGAAGCACAGGCATCGACACGTGACCTCCCATCGCACCTGGTGACAGACGATCACGTGGCTCCCAAGACGCCTATAAATGTCCAGCAGGTGCCACGCTCGTCACTGCTCCCGGCAATTGAAGGCAAGGTGAGTGCGTGTCGTGTCATGCCTGCCGTGAGATCTCTGGAATCTTTCCCACGTAATTGACGTGTGTCTGTTTTTGCTTTATTAAGTGTCTGATAATTCAAGATTAAGGAAGTTTAGCCTTTAAATACATTACATTAGTCGTCTTTTTTTGTATGAGTTACGTATACAATTAAAACGATGTCGCACCTCCGATTAGCACGGTTGGCTACGTACGGTGCAAAATAATTAAACGTACATACATGTCTATGAATGCTAGATATATATGTTGTATGGTCTGTTCTGGATGACCACAGTCGCATACTGGAAAGTTTTTAATTTTCCACTTGTGGATCTGGTATCTGCTTCTGCCAGAGATGAGGATCAGTTGTTTTTTTTAAGAGAGTGCTCTTCCGTGAATTGAAGAGAGCCGTGCAGACGAGGTAGACGATGGAGAATTGAAGCTCCATGCTCTCCCTCTCGGCGTTAGAAGCCTCTCACACAAAACAGGTGCTCATATTCAGCCTGTGCCTGCCCTTGTATACATTCATAGGCATAGCCAACGTGCTGGTGCTCGTGGCGGAGGTCGCGGGTTCGATCTCGACGGCTGTATATTTGGAGTTTGCGTGTCTCTCTCCCGTGGTCGCGTGGATTTTTCTTCGGGTCATCCGGTTTTTTCCTCCACATTTACAATTAACATGCGTTTAGAGGATTCGGCTGAAATACATTTCCACGTGACGAGTCACTTCGTTGAGCTATCATTTGCGGCCAGGTCACTTCTTGAAAAAGAGCTGCATGGCTCAGTGAGTCTTCACTGGTCAAATAGAAAGTTAAAGTTAGATGAATGTTTGTATCATTGCTGGCACAGCTTCCCCGCGACACTTTATTATTTCACCTTGAAATGGCCATGCCATATCAATTATGCCTAACATTTCAGAAGTTCACAATGTAACGATTGTTGCGCTCATCGTCAGCATGTAGCGTGCCATTATGTCCATTGATAAATGCAATGTCACAATCCAGTCACTATTTTATTCAAACATTTGATCGTGTTTGTCCTGTCCGTCATATTTGTATTGCTTCGCAAATTCTCTGTCGTGCGTTGCCTTGTTCTACTTTATGCAAACCATTTAGATTAGAGGAATCATTTACATGGAATTTGCATAACCCTTTATATTATCATCGATACAAGCCATGCCCACTTCTGAAGAAAGACCTCCCCATGCAAGACTTCGCCATCTCTCGTGATCCTTCAATGTAAGAATCCACTCAGCATTAGTGCACGAGATAATCCCATCGCTCCATCTCCTCCGTGGACGTGCCCTTGGCTGCCACTCCGTTGCCAGTCTCAACTGCGGCCGTCATCCCGTCTGCGGGACGTGTCCTGTGCAAGTCTACGTTTCTTGACAATCCGACAATAGGAGATTGTACATGTTTCCATTATTACACAAATAAATGTTGTCCTTCCCCCGCACTTCCGATTAGCACGGTTGGCTACGTATGGTGCGAAATAAGTTCAACATACATAAGCGTATAATAATGGTTTACTTGATTAATCAATAACATAATACCTTTCTCCTAGTCATCTGCAGTTTGCGTTCATGAGAAGTTGCATTGTCAGCATCATCGAATTCATGTTTACGCCTACTCACCACCTGGTATCCATCTATAATAAAATCCATTCGTCCAACATCAGACACTCTTAACCAGTTTTTATTTCCAGAGACATGCCTCGTTGTGGAGGCTGTGAGTAGACCACTGAGAGGCAAATATAATTTTCTAATATTGTTGTTGCTGGGATTCGCATTGACACGGTACATCAGCCACTTCTGTCACTTTGCTCCTCGGTCATCTTCCCCACACGGTAATCACGACTACATTGCTCAATTTGTACATGGCTGATGTGAAATAAGAAGAGGCTTTTACCCTTTCTGGCAATAAAACAGGAGTTGTGTTAAGATGTTCAAACACCAAATAGAAACATTTTCCAAGGCATCAAGTTTGCATTAATCACACATACTTGTGGAAAAACATGCAAACAAACATACTCTGATAATATATGCATCGTCTTTGAAAATGATTGGCGTACACCAGAGACAGCAGCCTTCTTTGTGGCATTGTCTGTTAAACCAGAGAACGCCAAAAGGCGAACAAGTACAAAGACAATGCAAGTATCAGAACACTTATAGCTGAGGCCGAACAGTTATTTCTATGGGACCTTTTTGCCAATCTCGAAAATAATGAAAAATAATCATAGATTTTACTCTTTCTGGCAATAACATGGCTTTCGTGCATTTTGCGAACAACTTTATCTCACTCTGAATCTCCGGATGCGAGCTTAATCCTGGGTGTCCCTGACCTCCACTGTACGTCTGTGGCATTGCAAGCAAGGTGTCAAGTCTCCCTTTGCGGCCACATTGAGTCCACTGGACTGTCCACAGTCAAACCCAAATCAGATGTGTAACTGAGAACACCCTCCATCTTAATTGAAATATTGTTCGGGCCCAAAACAGAACTAAAATTAAATTTTAAATAACGTACAAAAATGTAGAAAAAAAAGCACTCGGTCTTGCAAAAAAACATCAGAAGATCCTGAATAAGTGCCCCGGTCCACAGTTATCTATCTGCCGCATCACTGCTGCCTGTCACACTTATCTTGATGGTGAGCTAAGACAAGAGGGACCAAAATGCAATTCTTCAGGGAATGCTGGTGGGTTATTTTTTTGCAAAATGCACAAAGACTGCAGTTCTTTTTACACCGTGGCCATCCGTCCGCTGATCATTCAGCACTGTCATCTGCAACATTGTGGATTGTAATAAGGATTGATCTGCAGATAACCAGATAATAGTATGAGTTGTGGGTTTAAAAAAAAACTCTACAGACAATAGGAGTCTCAGATCAGAAGGGGTGCAGATAAGACGGTTTCGAAATATGCATGCTATAGCTTTTTAAACGTAGAATGTTTTGCTTTTAAATCTCATTATCATATTACAATTCTATTTTTATTTAGTATTTCCTGACATCGGTAATGATAATGCTGACGACAACGATGCACAGTCCTTCGTCAACCCACGGCTGGATGAAGGCCTCCCTCGGGTACCACATTGACCATTGTGTGTTTTTTTTCTATTGACCATACTTCACCACGCTGGCTCAACGCCGGTTTGCGAAGGCTGGGTGCACCACATGTAGTACGGTCCAACAACAATGTACATCACCGAGTTCAGACGACCAAAATCACGTAAATCTAAGAAGGACGAAGCATGCTCGCGTTGCCCCGCGAAAGCGAAGTTGAAAGCCGCTTCGAAAACACGGGCGGCGCCACGTGGCGGCCGTTGCTACGCCACGTGGCGGCCGTTGCTACGCGTGATGTCATCGCACCACCAGCCAATTGGCTACACCGGGGGGGTTTGGCGCCAATTTCCACGGTCGCCGCTCCTGCTGCTGCTTCTGCAGCAGCTCCACTTCTCGTGAGGGGGAGAGGTGGGGTGGACAACGGGTGAGGTGGACAACAGGTGAGGTGGACAACTGGTGATGTAGACAACGTGTGAGGTGGAAAACGGGTGAGGTGGACAACGGGTGAGATGGATAACGGGTGAGGTGGACAACGGGTGAGGTGGACAACGGGTGAGGTGGACAACTGGTGATGTAGACAACGTGTGAGGTGGACAACGGGTGAGGTGGACAACGGGTGAGGTGGACAACTGGTGAGGTGGACAACGGGTGAGGTGGACAACGGGTGAGGTGGACAACTGGCGAGGTGGACAACTGGCGAGGTGGACAACTGGTGAGGTGGAAACTGGACGCCCTCGTTCACGATGCGGGAGGCGTCCACCGCGGTGGACACGAACCCCGAGTCGAGCGGGGGAGGAGCAGCGTGGCAGTGGCGAGCACGGTGATGTTGATCGTCATAGAACAGCTTATTACATCGTCATGAATGGCGTTAAACGTGTAAGAAAGGTAGACATATTTAGGACTAAATCTTAACGTTATAATAGTTTATTATACCGTAGGAAATAGTAATTAACAACTACTCAAACCGCAATCATACATTGCAAAAAAGGGCGCCAACACAACTCCACACGTATACACTGTACTGTATTTTATTTTTAAACGAGCTATGCGTATTTGAAAAATGTTTATAACAATGAACTAGATGCATATAGCAGATTTTTAAAAAAATATATATGTATATAAATACACGTCACATTGAGTTCGGGGCTCAACTTGCGTCAGTAATTTCTTTAGTTTGCAATGATTTTTCGCATCAAACGTCGTGCAATTCAGAGTTGAGCTACACGAAACGCAACAATATTATCCTTGACCTTGGCCGTTCGGGTAAAACGCTTTAACAGTCCTGCAAGTCAAAATTCAAGGGCTGCAATTATCTCCTCCCGAGTCTCAATTAATCGACTCAACAAAAGCGACCAAGCTGCACTCTCAGGAGGGCACAATTAATTAGAGCCACGCTGGTAAATGCGGGTCACAGAGACGGTATCCTCATTTCTACCGGCATAGACCGGAGATTCATCATTGAAATTACAGCAGTTAATGGGTTATGCAGATGGGTCACATAACGCTCATCCCGATGGGCACATGTCGGAATGTCAACCCATGGGTTAACCCATTAACCGCTGTAATTTCAACCCATGGGTTAACCCATTAACCGCTGTAATTTCAACCCATGGGTTAACCCATTAACCGCTGTAATTTCAACCCATGGGTTAACCCATTAACCACTGTAATTTCAACCCATGGGTTAACCCATTAAACGCTGTAATTTCCAACCATGGGTTAACCCATTAAACGCTGTAATTTCCAACCATGGGTTAACCCATTAACCGCTGTAATTTCAAACCATGGGTTAACCCATTAACTGCTGTAATTTCAAACCCATGGGTTAACCCATTAACTGCTGTAATTTCAACCCATGGGTTAACCCATTAACCGTTGTAATTTCAACCCATGGGTTAACCCATTAACCACTGTAATTTCAACCCATGGGTTAACCCATTAACTGCTGTAATTGGGTTAACCCATTAACTGCTGTAATTTCAAACCATGGGTTAACCCATTAACCGCTGTAATTGGGTTAACCCATTAACCGCTATAATTTCAACCCATGGGTTAACCCATTAGCTGCTGTAATTTCAACCCGTGGGTTAACGGCAGTTAATGGGTTAACTGCTGATTTAACTGCCGTTAACCCACGGATTGAAATTACAGCAGTTAATAGGTTAACCCATGGGTTGAAATTACAGCGGTTAATGGGTTAACCCATGGGTTGAACTTACAGTGGTTAATGGGTTAACCCATGGGTTGAAATTACAGCGGTTAATGGGTTAACCCATGGGTTGAACTTACAGTGGTTAATGGGTTAACCCATGGGTTGAAATTACAGCGGTTAATCGGTTAACCCATGGGTTGACATTCCGACATGTGCCCACCGGGATGAGCGTTATGTGACCCATCTTCATAAGTGTGGAATTTACCCATTTCCCAAAGTAGTCTCGAGTTCAGATAAACTTGGAATATGAATTGTGCACTTTATATTAGAAGCAATTTAAAATTACTAAATATTTTAAATTCTTCACCTTAATTATTTTAAAGAATTTATGATAAACGTATGGGTGGCACACATGAAAGTTTTGTGTATAATATATCTAAATCTGTTTATTTTGTTTGTATATGAATGCACGTATGCATACTGCGGGATTTTTTATATATAATGCACACATAGGGTACTTAAGTAATGAATCCCTAGAGCAATATCATCCCCCATTAAGAAGGCACATGGACTAATTAGGGCATATGGACTCATTAACACGTATGCAAGCGCTCAAATTGATACACAGGGGGCAATATAAATGAATGATGGAATACTAAGTGACAAATATTTTATTCTGTTACGGGAGGCTTGCGTACTTGCAATCCACAGTAAAAGACAGGACTTGTGAATTGACTATACAGTCCCTTTAAATTTCGATTTAAAGCTTTCGTGACTGCAGGGATTCATCTTCTTGGTTCTTTCGGTAAAGTCACGTAGAAGGGAAATAATAAAATAATAAAAATAAAACATACTGAATAAAATAGTTCGTGAGAATTATTTTATTATGTTTTATTTAAAAAAAATTATTATTATTTTATTTCCTTTCTACGTGACTTTACCGAAAGAACCAAGAAGATATACAGTTCCTGTATATAAAGCCACTTTATATAAAAGTCGGAGTTATATATGCATTAATACACTAACAAAATAAACATATTCAATTCCATTATACACCATTTTAAAATGTGTGCCATATATAACTCTTCTTAAAATGTAAAAAAAAAAAAATTTGGTTTAAGCATTTTAGAGAAATAGTTAATTTAAAATATAACTCAAAACATGACCCAATTGCTTCTAATGCAGTCACCCCCCAACCCGAGGTGGACATATCACATTACGAGCTCATCTTGACTCAAAAGACTCCTCAGGGCAATGGGTAAATCCGCAGGGCGCTGCAGCACGCACCAGCCAGCCCGGAACCTCCCATCGCGCCTGAAGGCTCACGGTCACGTGGTCCCCAAAACGCATATAAATCAGCAGATTCTACGAGCATCACTGATCTGCCCTCAGTGCAAGCAACTGAACACCGGGTGAGTTCGCTTACATTTTTTTTTGTGCCATTGTACATCCTTGTTATTTTAATATCCGTGAGCATGTGTTCTGTTGTCACCTCAACAGGGACTGCGTGATAAGGTCTCGGGCTGTAGACGCGGGAGCCCAAGGAACGTAATTATGGACAACAGAAGCTCAGTGCTCCACCTCGCCACATTTGAAGCCCCGTACCCTGTGCAGGTGCTCATATTCAGCCTGTGCCTTGCGATGTACCTAACTATAACTGCAGCCAATCTGCTGGTGCTGGTGACGGTGGCAGTGTCCACAGACTTACACAAGCCCATGCACATATTTCTGTGCAATCTTGTGATTGGCGACATCGTTGGCAGCACAAGTGGCTTGCCCAAGCAGCTGCAGGTCCTCCTGACGGGCAACAAAGAGATCCTGTACGTGTCATGTGTCGCACAGATGTTCACACTTCATATATTCGCCTTGAATGAGATTTTTACATTGGCTATGATGTCTGTTGATCGCTACTTGGCCATCTGCTACCCATTGCACTACCACACCAAGGTTACATCAAAGAGTTCAATTTTCCTGTCATCACTGTCCTGGCTGATTGCAATGGTTGCAGTCAGCGTTCAAGTGATCCTCATCCTTCAAGTTCAATTGAAGGGAAACTACAGACAAATCCAGGGCATATTTTGTGATAATATGGGAATTTCGAAGTTAGCCATCGATGACACAAGCAATATAGAATCTTATGGAATATCAATGATTGTGATGTACATTGTCTCTCCTTTCTGTGTGACTGCGTACACCTACATTCGTATTCTTGTCGAGTGGAAGAACTCGAGTTCCTCCGAGTTCAGGAGCAAAGCTCTGCACACATTCGGCACGCATTTCATGGCGCTCGCCGCATTTTTCACGTCCGTTTTTTCGGATATCCTTTTGCCGCGCTTTGTGAAGGATGTGGACAGCGAGGGCGCAAGAAACTTGAGATCAGCCGTTCAGTTGGTGTTCTTGCTCAGCCCGGTTGCGAACGTACTCATTTACTGCCTCCGTACGACTGAGCTGAGAATCGCAATTAGTAAGCACTTCAAGAAGATCTTGCGTAAGGTGCATTCATGTCCAGAAATGAAAGTTCACGTCTTAGGTCGCGGTTGAATGATGCTTTAACACAAAAGCACAAACGTAAAATGTTCATGTAGGGAGTGCAAACTTGTATTAGGCTACTAAGTACACATTTTCTGAAACATTATACTTCATTGTACCTAGCTATCACGTTTTATCTTACCTATAAAAGTAAGTTTTTGTCCGTCTGTCCATCTGTCTGTCTGCCTGTGTGTGGCCGACACTTGCGAGGGATTTGGTTCGCGAACCGTGGGGTTCATGTTATAAAAAAAGTACCCAGGTAGCACGCCATAAGGCCCGTGGTGAGCCAGCTCTATTCCGATTTCGCGTCCGTCACCTTTAAAGTAGTTTCATTAGCAATTTAGTTCGCGCCAAAGCAAGCACCTGCGCATGCTCGCCTCTACCAAGTCACACGCGTTTGGTGGGGGGGGGGGGGGAAATTCTCATTCGTGTGGACACTGCGCAAGGTAACACACATATTTACAGCTCCCTTCAAACATGTATTACCATGACTGGTGATGATAGTCAATCTAAGTAACACAATTTCCTCCCTGAGTACTAAGTGCTACTTTGAAATTGTTATATACAAAATGGCTATTATTCCCCACAAACTTTGCTTTAGCGACCACATCTTTAAGTGAGGGAATGAAACTTATGCACACGTTTTCTCTTTGAAAATAGGTACATTTCTAATAATCAGTGTCCTGCTCAAAAAACCAAGTTTGAGGGGAAGAAAAGTCTTGTTCTGTATTCTTGAGTCATCAGCAGCCACGTAATATCACTGACTGCACAGGGGAAAACAAATAAATATACTGATTGCTATTACGTCTTCATTCTAACATATTTACACTTTGTACCCTCAGTACGGGGGATGAGCACTGACATTATGTCAATTAGGCTTCATTGGTGCACATCTGGTCATAGTTACAGGTAGGATAAGTTGATTTATTATTCGTTGACTTTTATTTATTTACCGCTTTTGCTCGCGGCAAATGTTTGCACAAAAATGGTGGAAGACCATCGTCGTCGCTCTTAATTACTTACTTATTAGACACGCGTGCATTTCCCCTCTTCCTTGCTTCTTTCGCTAAAGTCACGTAGATAGAAAACTTATTTCAAACTTTGTTAGTAAATATAAAAGTAATAATGCGTGTGTGCACGTCGATGTGTGCATGTGAGTCCATTTATGTGTGCGTTGTGTGTGTGTGCGTCAATGTGTGTGTGTGACAGTCGCTGTGTTTATGTGTGTAAGTCCATGTGTGTATGTGAGTCGATATGTGTGTAAGTCCATGTATGTGTAACTCCATCTGTGTGTGTGTAAGTTCAGGTGTGTTTGTGTAAGTCGCTGTGTGTGTAAGTCGCTGTGTGTGTGTGTAAGTAGATGTCCGTGTCAGTCGCTGTGTGTGTGTTAGTTGATGTGTGAGTGAGTCGATGTGTGTGTTGTGTGTCCATGTGTGTGTGTGCGTCGATGTGTGTGTAGGTCGATGTGTGTATGCGAGTCGCTGTGTGTGTGTGTGGGTCGATGTATGTACATGCCTAAACAGCTTTTGTTCGGCCGGATCAAGGGGGCTAAGCGGGCGCGGCACGGGCTAGAGAAGAGATGGAGTGATGTGGTACAGGAGTACGTGGAGCTGAGTGGACTTGCCATTGACTGGTACCAGCAGTGTCAAGATCGGCCTCTGTGGAGGAGGCTCGTGAAGGACGCTACTGGGCAGTTGGAGGCAGTCGCCCTCCAACAACAACAGAGGGTGGAGGAGCGACGCTCACAACAACGAGCGGAGCGCCGGGTGGCTAAAGCACAGCAAGTTGGTACAGTAGGGGGCACAGATGGTGCATCAGCCAGCCATCTCGGTCATCTCGGTCAGTCGACCCGTGGCACCTGGGTCTGCCCCGTTACCTCCTGCCAGCGGGCGTTCGACACTTCACGTGACGAATGGCGGTTGTTGTTGTGTGTAAGTGGATGTGTTTGTGTGTAAGTCGATGTGCGTGTGTGAGTCGATGTGTGCAAGTCCAAGTGTGTGTGTGCGTCGATCTCTGTGTGTCTGAGTCGATGTGTGTGTGTAAGTCGATGTGTGCCAGTGGATGTGTGTGTGTGTGAGTCGATGTGTTTATGTATGTGGGTCGATGTCTTTGTGTATCTGTACGTTACCATAATTATGATTCATGACAGAAATACATTGTTACTTAGAAATAACGATATTGCCCTATTGAGGTAATATGGTAATATTTTAATTATCAATTTTCATAGCACAATAACAAACACAATTGAAGCCAATGTCTTAATCATGTGGAATGTGCTAATTCTCGTTATATCTCAGAAACTACGCTGGGTTTGTGCTGGATGGTGCTTTGTGGGTGGGTGACCACCTTGCACGAAGCCCGTGTTGTAGGCTGTTGTAAATTCCAGGGTTGTACTGCATTTCTCTGGTCCAATGTCTATTCTACAAATCCACAAACAGGTATATTGTACCATTGGAACCTCATTTGCCAGTAAAAATATAATTGTTTTTTTACCCTTCTATCTGGCAACAAAACTGACACCTTTTTACAAGGAGTCATGTTTGCATAGACCACAGTACCTGCAGTCATAATGCAAACAAAAAACACAACTCTGATAATGTGCACTGTCCTTGAAGTTGATTGGTCCACACCCGAGACAGCTTTCCTTAGAGCCTAGTCTCACATGGGTTGGACCAGATGACGCCAAAAGGCGCACAACTCAAAGACAATGCACCATCAGAGTATGAGAGCTCGGGTAAGCATTTACACCATTCGAACCTCATTTGCCAGTAAAAATATGATAATTGGATTTTTACCCTTCTATCTGGCAACAAAACTGACACCTTTTTACAAGGAATCATGTTTGCATAGACCACAATACCTGCAGTCATCTGGTCCAACCCATGTGAGACTAGGCTCTAAGGAAAGCTGTCTCGGGTGTGGACCAATCAAATTCAAGGACAGTGCACATTATCAGAGTTGTGTTTTTTGTTTGCATTATGACTGCAGGTGTTGTGGTCTATGCAAACATGACGCCTTGTAAAAAGGTGTCAGTTTTGTTGCCAGATAGAAGGGTAAAAAAACAATTATCAGGTATATTGTAGTAGAGGGCTGTGCAGAAAAATAAAATGTACTGCACTTCTATGCTCAAATGTCTATGCTCCTCTCCACCAATCTGCACTGACCACCAGGCTGGTGAAGTGTGATGGGCTGTGTGTCTCACTTGCGCGACCACCGTTGCGGTGGTTCTCTTGCGTTGACGCGCTTGCCTCACAGCGCAGTTGGCAGCGACGCAGCTTGTGTTACACATAGACATGACATTAACTTGCTAATCCCCCTAATCTCTCTGCCTAATCTCTCCCATCAACATAGTGCTAGTCTCCCATTAACACAGCTGTTGTGCGCATATGCAGGGGACGATACTCTTCTGCGGCGACGCATGCTCATTTCATGCTAATCTCTCTCCCTAATCTCCCCCATGAACACAACTGACGTGCTTGCGTGCGGGAAAGGAATTCCTTTCCAGCTCAGACCCTGCCTGCTTGCCCTTCGCTACATATATAATCTCTTGTTATAAAAGCTCTCGCTGTGGTCTTCCTGGTTCAGCAGTTCCACTGCTGGATATTTTTTTTCCGCCTGAGGACGACCGCTTGTGTTGCGATCAAAACGTCGTGATATATTATTTTTTTGTTTTATTTTTCTACCTACGTGACTTTACTGAGAGAACCAAACAGTATGGTGAAGTATGGTCAACCCATACAGCCGAGGGGAATCCTCAGGTGTGGATTGGCTGTACACACATCATGAAGTATAAATTTCATACATTGCTTAATATTAATAAAACTCGTTTCTTCACACACATCAATCATTTCCATACATGACAATCGTCTTCCGAGTTTGATGCTATATCTAGGGTGTGCTTTCATTACTAAACACAGTACTATTCGTTCTTAAATGCAATTGCATTAGATAGTGAAATAACGTTAAACATTGTAATATATTAACAAATGGTACGAAAATAGCTATGCATTCATCCAATTAATGTGCCTTTTCCAATTCTCTGTTGATTTGAAAATGATAAATAAAAACAAGATACGTTGCAATGGAAATCAGTGGGCAGCACTACCAGCAGCTTGTATTTCTGTTTAAGTGTCATTTGGCTGCAGTAGGGAAAACGAGATACATGTACACAGCATACATGTGTGCATTACAGGTTCTGGTAACACTCGTGCCTCACAGCTAGAAGGACAAGGGGTTCGATTCCCAACTCAGGCACCTTTCTGTGTGCAGTCTGTGTGTTCTGCCCCTTTTCTGCATTGGTTTGCCCTGGGTTCTCTGGTTTCTTAGCAAAAAAACACAAACCCCAACTGGTATCGGCCAAACATTCAAACGTAAAAAGTTAAAACATTACATGACAATTACGAAATTGGTATAAAGCTGGCAATATCGTCCCCGATTGCAAAATCTTCTCAGGATTCTCCTAAAATGAAGCTTTGAGACTCAGCGAGGGTATCCCGGGTAAACGAGCAAATTAGCAATAAAAAATAAATGTGTTGGGCCCGGAGGAAGCACCGAGACATTGTCCTCATTAAGCGTGGGGATGGCGACCATGGCCAGACACAGCACGGGCAGACGGCAGCCCCTTGAGACCCTGGGACTGGCTGTCTGTGTCTCATCCCAATGGTAACCAGGTCAAGTTTGAACAAGAGTCAACTGAAGAAGCTCCTCCAGCACCACCGCTGGAAGATATTCTTCTTGCAGAATTCGTGACAATATATCCATAAATGTAATTTTAATTTTCTATGTAATTGTTGATCCTCTCTCATTGCACCCACTGTAATGCACGCGTGCACGATGTGTCCATGCATCTCGGTTACCCTGCTGTAGTCAAAACGTCTCCGCAGATTAAATACACGAGCTGCTGCCGTGCGCGTTGTATGATGGGTCAGCTGGGAATGAGACTGTCCGACTTTGACTGGACAATGTGCACCATGATTTGTAACTTGATTTTAACGGCGATAACAAACAAATAA